ACAGAGAAATCTTTCATGAAATGAAGCCAGTTGATGTGGCATACTTTATTGTTGTCTTGTTTTAAGAAACTGTCATAACCACCCAAACCTTCAGCAACTACCTGCTTGCTCAGTCAGCAGCCACAGCATCAAGGCAAGACCATCTAGCAAAAAGATTGTCACCATTTTTTAGCAATAAAGTTGTTTTCAATTAAGGTCTGTTCATTTTCTAAAAAACATAATGCTATTGCACACTTAGTAGATTACAGTATAGTGTACATATAAATTTTATACGCGCTGGGAAACCAGAAGATTCGTGTGACCTGCTTTATTGCAGTATTTGCTTTATCACAGTGATCTGAAACTGAACCGACAGTATCATAGTGATCTGAAACTAAACCGACAGTATTTTTATTTTGTAAAAAATACAAAATAAAATTTACTGTATTTTATTCAGTAAATTCTAACTAAGAAGCCAGAGAAATATTTAACATATTTTAGAGCTTCATTCCAGATGGTTAATTTTTGTATGTTTGTTTTAATGGCATCTAATTGCCAAGAAGGGAAGTTTTTGGTTCCTGGTCAGTTCATTTACATGGAAAAGCTTAACCATGCTAGGCAAGTCATTTGTCTTATACTTAATTGTAATGTTCTGTATTGTTTTTATGAATATGTTTATTATTAACGGTATTTTAGAAGAGCTAAGCTTTATAATAAGGAAAAGTTTTGTTTGTGTGTGTATGTTTTTGGAAAGTTTATATTGCTGGAATATGTGTGGATCTGCAATATGTACAAATGTATGAAGGATCTTTCCTCTGATTGAAAGATTAGCAATAAAAGATTCAGTGGGATACACACACACTCTTATTTTCAGCCTTCAATATATTACTTGAAAATACCAAATTCATTGAAAATTTTTAATAAGCCTTGGCAAATACTTTCCTTAGGTAAATTATTTTTGCTATGGTTTAAGAAAAGTTCAATTATTCTTTCAAGTTGTGAGAAGCTCAAAAGTGAGTATTTGAAAGTAATTTAAAGAAGCCAGAATCAAAACTTAATTTATTTCCTGGCTACTTCATATCAGTTCAAGCTTATCCAGTTACTGTAGACTCTATCTAATTATCATAATTTTATTTATGCGCATGACATTACATTTACATGAAGTAGAGAGATGAAAATATGACAAACTTTCAAGTACTAGGGAGGAGAAGGCAGATTGGTTATAAAAAGCAAGCCGTTTGCTAATCAGCTATACGGTTCAGGGGTGGGGAGAATGTTAACAGAAGACACTTTGATAATATGAAGAGGTGACATGAAAGAAAAATAGCAACTGTCTAGCAACCTTAAAAGAGAGTCTACCTTTATTCTTTAAATTGTCACTCTGTTTCTGTTTGACTATTCCCATGAGACTCTTCCATTTCACAATTGTGTTTATATTATTTTTTAAGCTTCTTTAAGTTAATATTTTTTTTGCATTACCATGGAGAATTAGAATGGGGAAATTTTTGAGAAGGTTTTCTTGTGTGAGTACTTTCAGGTTGAAGATAGGGAATGTGTATGGTTCTGGCAGTTTATCTGCTCACTTATTACAGGATTGTTTTGGAAAAAAAATCAAATTTGTATCTTGGCAGATATTCCTGCATTCATTTGTAACTGATATGAATATAAAGCAAAAGTTGCAGGGGCTCACACCTGTAATCCCAATCATTTTGGAAGCTAAGGCAGGAGATTGCTTGAGTCCATTAGTTTGGGCAACATAGTGAGACCCCCATCTCTACAAAAAAATTAAAAAAAAATTAGCCAGGCCTGGTGATGTATGCTTGTAGTCCTAGCTACTACTCAGGAGGCTGGGGCAGAAGAATTGCTTGGGCCTAGGAGCTTGAAGTTACAGTGAGCTATGATCGTGCCATTGCACTCCAGTTGCTAAATACATGGTAACTTGCTCTAGAAATGGAATTTGCACTGTTAAGAAATCTGGGAAAATGTTGCCTTTTTTTTTTTCTTTCTTTCTTTCTTTCTTGAAACTGGGGTAATTAATTTGAAACCTATAATCCTTTTAGGCCCATTGAGCATTTAAGGTCATTTTGTTAATTTAGGAATATAAAATATGTGTTGCATGCAGATTTACTTTTTTAGAAAACGGAAGATTTAAGCAACAGCCCAGAGCACAGAAACAGAGACAATTAGAAATAAAAAGCTTTTTTTTTTTTTTTTAACTGAGATGGAGTCTCGCTCTGTTGCCCAGGCTGCAGTGCGGTGGCGTGATTTCAGCTCACTGCAACCTCCGCCTCCTGGGTTCAAGCAATTCTCCTGTCTCAGCCTCCTGAGTAGCTAGGATTAAAGGCGTGCGTCACCAAGCCTGGCTACTTTTTGTGTTTTTAGTAGAGACGGGATTTCACCATGTTGGCTAGGCTGATGTCTAACTCCTGACTTTGTGATTTGCCCACCTCAGCCTCCCAAAGTGCTGGGATTACAGGTGTCAGCCACTGGATCCGGCCAGCAAAATTTTTTAAAAAGCAAAAAAAAAAAAAAAATCAAATATTGTATTTAGGAGAATTAGTGATTTCTACATTATCAAACCAACAGAGGAAAAAAAATTCATTTCAGGAAAGTATTGGGAGAGGGGGTGGGTGGGGAGAGATTTATTCACTAAAGAAGCACAAAGCTCATTGAACACAATATTATGCATGTAACTTCTGTCTATAGCTTTTTATTCAGTCTTTTTTGAGAGTATGCTCTGCTGGTTATTTTTGCTTTAGATTCATGGACTTAGGTACTGCACCCTGCCCTGTTATCCTAAAAGAACTGATTTAGTTACATTTGCAGTAACTGGTGATAATAGTGTAATTTCAAGAAAATTTTTACCTTCATCCCACTGCATAAATGCCTCCTTCCTAAAGCCTGACATTGTTTTGCAAAGGGACAGTATCTTTTATATTATAGCTCAGAGATTTTTAAAAAAAAAGGCTCTAAGCGTTAAACACATACTTAAAATGTAATAT